ATATATATATAAGCATGAAAAAAATATTGGATTACAAAAATAACCTTTTAATATTAAACATAATAACTCACAATAAAAGGACATAATCGGAATTCTAAATATTAGCCTTGTAACCCTATTAGTTTTAGGACATAATACTAAACGTTAGGAATCCTACATGATTACCTTTAGCTGATTTATATTAAGATCTCATTCTCTTTAGACTTTACACATAATGCAAATCTCTCCTCTTTTCCCTTCCTCTCGCGCTACAAAGAGAGTTGTTCAATGTAAACTTTTTCATTGGAGCATTACCTAATTAGCTCCAGACCCTGTTTCTGAAGTAAAGGCTAGGTATACGTTTTAGTGGAAATAATTTTCGAGTAGTGATCAGCATAGCAATTACAATCAATCTTGGATCATATAAGCCTTGACACTGTGTACAAACACCGAGATGCATGTAAAAAGTCTACTTTGAAAGAAAAAATCTAAAGAACAAGGTAACTTCATCAACCATTAGTTTGTAATGTGATGAATGGGCGAAAAAGGCTAATATATAAAAGCATGAATAAAATGTTGGATTACAAAAATAACCTTTTAATATTATACTAACTCACAATAAAAGGACATAATCGGAATTCTAGACATTAGCGTTGTAATCCTATTAGTTTTAGGACATAATACTACACGTTAGGAATCCTACGTGATTACCTTTAGTAATCCTATTAGTATAATTATTTTCGGTATATAGATATATAATACTACATGTTAGCATGTAAACCTAATACCTTTAGGAACATGTTAGATTTTCTATTAATATAATTACTTTCGGGATATGGATATATTTTTAGCCATGTAATCCTATAGTTTTTAGGATCTATTTCTTAAAAATTTCCTATTACTAATTTAATATGAAAATGTATTATACTGTCCAAATCCATTTAGAAATAGGAGATCCATATTTATTATAAAAGCATGAATATAATATTGATATACTAAAATAGCCCTAAAATATTAAATAGAAGAACTCATAGAGAAAGGACATAACTGTAATAACTGTAATAAAATCAAATAATCAGATCTTTCAATTAACTATTTAACAGGAGAATCTAATCAAATTAATTTTTTAATTCAAAATTATTTTTCAAGTTAAAAAAAATCTTATGGTACATAAATTTATTTCATAAAAAGAGTGTTTGAGATTAAAAAATAGATCACAAAGTAAAAAAGATTAGTATAATATTAAGAAGGTCATACAAGTGTTTGAAGAAGCACGATCAAAGCTAAATCCCGGACAAGAATAAGCTTTCAATACTATATTATAAAAAGTCGACGCTGGTATAGCGGAATTATCCTTTGTAGATGCCTCCGGCAGAATCGAAATAATATTCATATGTCATGCATTACTTGCAAATGTCAGATCAAGAGACATGATATTGTTAGCAATAAGAACAAGTGGTGTACCGGTAATAATTTTATTATGAGGTCGTACAACTCACTTTAGATTTGATACACCTCCTCAAATAATTAAAATAACCATCACAAATATATCAAAGCAGAGCAATAGTGCTAAATTTATAAGGAAACCAAAAGCGATAATATGGGATGAAGCGCTTTTGGCTAAGCGTCAAACAATACAATCGCCCTGAGTTTTAGAGATATATTGGATATCGATGAACCGTTTGGTGGAAAAGTAATATTTTGGGAGGTGATTTCTGTCAAGTACGATCAGTAATTTCAAAATTGACCAAGGCAGAAACTGTAAAAGCTACCTTGCCAAAATTATACTTGTGACATCAAATGAAAAATATTCAAATGACAAGAAATATAGAAGTAAGAACAGACCCAACATTCAGTGACTTCTTGCTTCGCGTCGGAAATGAAGAAGAGCATCCAATAAAGATGATTTGGTTCTGATACAAAAAACACGTCTATAAAGAAGTGTTCGGTAAGATACTATTACATTAGATATGGTTAAACTACAATACATAATTTTCTACTTAACATGACTAAAATTGATCATTTGTATAAGTTCTATTGATCTCTTTTTATTTTGAATTCACGTACTATGCTAATGTAAATATTTTTCGACATTTAGATAATTATTGTAGTATTATTTATATAAAATTTCTCTCATTA